CAATTAGGCTGCCAATTTCTAATTATTAATCTTTTGTTTTGGTAATTTTAGCTATTGTTATGATAATAATCACTAATTTAAGCTTTTACCTTTGGTTTAATCCATTTTTATTTGTTGTTCTGATTATTTTTTCCTCAACAGTTACTGCTACTTTTTAAATAATTGAAGCTAAATCATTCAGAACCAAGCAATCATATCACAATTTCAAAGGAAATTCTGTTTTTTTTTAGTTTCAAGATTCTACTTAAAAATTATGATTTAACATCTCATGAATATAAAATATGAGAGGTTAAACCAATATTTTGAGATAGTTCTTCATAATAATGTCTTAGCTGATCTTTGTTCTATTCAGTGGCTGAAATGGTCTTTCACATGTAAAGAGGACTGATTAATTAAAATGAATAAATAAATTAAATCTCAAAAGCTCACATGATGAGTTTTGCTTTCAGGGCGAACAAGCAGAAAAGAAAGTGAGCCAAAGTGTCACCGCTGCTCGTTTCAGTTCTCTCTTATTAAACAAAGACTGACAGACTCGATAAAAAGACACTGAAGAGTCTGAAAGACCTTAAAGATGACAGCATCAGCCTCCAACCTCTCCTCCAACTGTGAAATAAATAAACCAGCTTTAACTCACAGTTGGTGGCGACTCGACAGAAGTCCTCCTGCAGCTTCGCTACATCAGAATATGAATCCAGGGATTCGGAGTCAGTTTTCTCGTTGCCAAGTGCTGCGGTGGACAGATTGGGGTTGGAGGCATGCAGGCGGATCGGGCCGGAGGAGATGCAGCTGGGTACCTGTGGTAGAAGCAAGACGGACCGGCGTCTGAAAAAAGACCCACGAGAAACGATCCAAGCGTGATTGCACTTTTATTACTGTGTTGATTTCGGTTACCTGCAGGGTTGTTTTGACATCTTTATTGTAGTTCTTATGGCGCCACTTCCTCTGAAGTCTTTTCTCCTTTTTGGGGCTGTCGAATGTAGATGTCTGGTGAAYAAAATACAGTTTTATATTTAAAATATTTTTTTCCAGCTGCTACAAGGTGCAAAATGAAAGTTTGTTATTCGGCTGCAGATCATTTGAAAGAGAAGCGAGATGCTCTGAGTCATCCGGTATTTTTGATGTGATTTACAGTAAATGCAGTGGGGTGCCAAAGTTTGGGCAGCCTTGTTAATTTTCCTGATTTACCTTTAAAAATCATTGATTGTTTGGAAAAAAATCAGTTAAATATATTTCATAATATATATA